GTTTCATACTGTCTGGCCAATTTGATACTGTTTTGCAGCCACCGAAACATCTGCTTGGAGATTAGTTCGGGTGGTTCTGTGGCTCAAAGGTCAACTTTTCACCTAAACGTCCAAGATTTTCTTTAGATGGACTGATTCGTATCACCAACGGGGCTGAAGTCGTATACTGCCTACTTTGTCATTGAATAAAAAGTTAAATCTGTTTTTTTTTTCTTTGAAATCCTCTCAAAAATGCAGGAAATGCCATTTCAGAAGGTTAATTTTTCACAATTTTCCGGTGTGAACCTCGCGCCTTTGGCGCTCGCTGGTCCGTCACGCACTGGGAAGAACCCCCCATTCAAAATCCTGGCTATGGGTATGAATCCGGTACGCTAACAAAGTCATTGTTGAGACGCGGGGTCAACGTCCTTTTGAGGAAATAAATACGCACCTCGGAGCGTGAACAAAGTCGGTAGCACTAATTGCATGTTTACCTCAGGTGCACTGCGACACCTACAGCGTTTTTATTTATCTATTCATCACGGTGGTAAAATCTGGGCTGCAAAGTTCCCACATTTCATAGAATCCGAACTGTGTTCGATCGTGTTCGATCTGGGCAATTCGAATCGAACCCGCGTTCCATTTCGGGGTCACCTGCGGTCATTTGCAATAAAGCGGCAAAACAAGCCCTTCTGCCTGAGTGACTCGCAACAGATAAAAAAACAACACTTTTCTATAGATACAAACAGTTTCCAGGACAGTACATGTCCGCTATCATTTTTGTGGATCAGTAACATGTAGCAAAGCTACTGTCGTATCCTTCGGTGACCTTTAATACTGTAATGGTTCTTTACACCTTTATGAATAACACAATGCACACTTTTGGGAGATATGACATTTCTGCAAAACTCGTTCAAACCTGGAAGCATGGAGAGCCAAATATACCCCATTTACGGCTCAAAATGACTGTCACGGTTGTCCCAAAAATCGTGCTTTAGGGATTTTTGAAAAATGCTCTTGATTCCGAATTATGGGTAATTGGGTGCGAAAAAAAGCCAAAAAAAGTCGATTTTTTTAAGGATGACAAAAGCAAGATCATGTTTTGATCTTTCTTCACGAACTGAACTGAACGTTATTCCTAACGCCTGCCTTAAATTAATTATCATCTTCAACCCCTTACAATGCGCAGTTGTCATAGACGCTAAGGTTCTGGGTTCAATGGATCATTAAAAAGTGTTCCTTTTTGGATGAATATTTTCGTATTAATTACGAAAAGATTTTTATGCATACCTCCGTGGCAAGTTTAGGATCACGTGTAGATCCGCACTGCGATTGGTTAGGGCGGATCAAGTTTACACTGTGATTGGCTAAGACAGGTCGTGCCCCGCCCGTGCTTACCACGTGATAGAAGTCCACTTGTACATCACTATTGCGGAACATCAATTCATGACCCCATAGGTATCTACATAAAAATCTATAAATGAAAATTACGTATTACGTGGCGACCACTAAGGTAAAAAAAAGCAACTCCGTATACTAAATATTTAATCAATACAGAATACGTGCATTATGGCACGTCGATATATTTACACCACCACCCAGGTTGCACTTGCTTCCAACAGCATTTTAAAAACACGCAAATTGATGGAAATGCATAATTTTACTATCTGCAAAGCAACATTGACCTATAGGTAGTTATGTACTGTGAAAAGGTAAAATGTAGTAATACTCTAATATCATACTAGGTGAACTACGGATACGTATCTTGTCCACAGATACCCTTTGCAACCTACATTTGCTTGTTTATCTATTTTTTTATTATTAGAAAAAAATACGTCGATAACACAAATGTTTTAATCTTTTAAAAACATTGTCACTCAACGTGTCTAACGGAAATTTAAGGGTTTTCCTAGCAAAATGGTAGAAACATTAGCTACTACTTTTTCTGTCGCTTTCTACCTGGTACGGACACAGCAAGAAAATGCATTTGCAGCTCTACCGACGAGGACATTTTCGGCCATTTCATGCTGCATAACTTTTTTTGAGAATTTTGAGAAATTCGTCGACGTTCGTAGGTCCCCTAGGCCTAGCTCCGTCCAACGTAAAAGGGTAAATTTCGAGCGATTTTGAACTCTGTGATCTTCTGTCGATGCCACAAATTCTTTAGGAACGATATCACAGAGGGAAATCTCGTCCGTCCATGTTGTAAACTATCATGTAGAAATCACAATCTCCAAGTACGGATCTTGGTGCGTTTATGCTTATTAAAATGTCAAACCAACTGCAAAGACAAAGCGGCATATACCTGACCTGGTTTGAACATTACAAGTGCGAGGTTAGATATACTAACTACAAACTGGAATGCCATGCGATAGCCATCGTTGCAGGCTTATAGAACTGGGGGGTTTGGTGGTCTTCGGCTGTTTTCTGATTAGCCCAGTTCTAAAAAAACGGGGGTAATTCAACCAGGCCGGCTATGTTGTCTATATGCAATTTAGAAAATAGCACATAAAAGCTAACAAAGACCATAAAGACCCCAAAACCCCCCAGTCTTTGGCATGCTGTGGAGGCTAGCCATGCGACACGTTTTTGTTCTATGCTACGTCTCAGAAGCTGTTAACTGGCAAAGGGTGCGTGCGTGACAAGAGAAAATGGACTTACTTTCGTAGCTGACGCCTTGTCCACTATACCTCGAGGTCCAATAGTCACCTCCCCTCCAACCTTGACTCAATCCCACCACAGCTAGAAGAATCAGCGCAACAAGGACGTAGCCACTGCCCCGAGAACCAACAAGTTTTTGTGCTAAACGGCGAGGACATTTCCCAAACATCTTGCTTCTTTGATCCAGTCACTGCATGAGTAAAAGGACTGCAGGTCAACGTACCTTTGAGGAAGTAGGTGTCAGTACAAAGCAAGCGTATCGCCTATCGCATTTCGTAGAAGGGTCCACGCCATGTCACAGTTCAGCATTAAAACGTTTTGAAAGGATAGAACTTTGGACGGGATCCAAAAATTATGTCTAACTGAATGATTTTTAGAAATGGAATTTTTCTGCAGGATGGTAAAATTATCTATTTTAATAACATGTGCTGAGTTACCATGCTTAGTCCTAGTGAACCGTGCAACCGAACACACAGATGTTACAGATAGACCTTGTCGGTACGTTAGGCCATGTTGATTCGATTATATGGATGACATCCTCTGGGAACCCCAAAACTGATGCGCGCGTGCGAATAAAAAAAAGTTTTGCAAAAAAAAAAGTTAGCTTTCATGATGAAATCTACGTGGTCATGAAGGTTGAACAAATGATACATGGGTATGGTTTGGCGAATAATCTACTGTTCAACTTTATTTCTTTTGTCCTTTTTTGGTATCGTTTTAAAATATTCTTTTTGCAACTTACGGTATCTATTTGCTCATTTTGTAACTGTTTTGTATGATTTACAGTATGGTTGAAAAACTTTTTTTGGGGAACGGCCAAAAGTTCACGCGCGGATGTCATCCATGTCATCAAATCAACATGGCCTTATGCAGTGGAACTGCACAGGTACAAATGGAACCGGCACGCACCATAGCCTCCTCCGCAGACTTCTAATGGGGCATCGCTTGTTTCTACGATAGGGTGAGGGGTGTTTCTTTTCAGGGGAGGGGGTTGTATTTTTGAAGAGTCATAACTCCCTTTGTGGCATACATGTGATTTTTTTATTATTATTTATTCCAACATGTAATCATCAGACGTGGTGACGACACACTCAAGTTTCTTCAACTTATATTAATGCCGCCACCAACACAGGCGACAAATACATTACAGGACAATACTCATTTACACTTGAGCTAAGTGAGGAAAGTCGTGTAAAGTTCCTTTCCCAAGGGCACAAGATCGGTGGCATGTCAGGACTTGAACCCGGGACTCTTAGTTCCGAGTCGCGCACTCTGCCGCTACACCACACGACCCCACTGAAAATACATGTTTTAGTATTGTTGTTATCTTTTGATTTAAACACTTGCCATACATTGTATCCATTGCAATTGTTGCGCAATAAAGATTGATTGATTGTAATTCTCTGTGCCACATTAGAGAACACTGACCTTCATGTACGTAGTCGGGATTTTTTTAGGGGTTCTTCCCACCACTGTCTGAGGGACCAGCGAGCGCAGAACGCGCGAGCTTCCTAGGGGGGGTCCGGGGGCATGCTCCCTCGGAAAACGTTGAAAAATGAACCTTCTGAAATGGCCTTCTGCGTTTTTGAGAGGATTCCAAAGGAAAAAAATCAGACATAACTTTTTATTCAATGACAAAGAGCAGTTTTTCTACGATTCCAGCCCCGCCGGTCCATCTTTTAATTGAAAATCTTGAGCCTATAGTTAGATAAAAAGTGGACCACTGAGCCTTGGGGGGAGGAGGGGGTTCTTCCGAACCCCCTACCCCTGTCTACGGGCTTGGACCTTGTAAAAAAATCGCGTATTTGTACTAGTGCTCACCCAAAAATGCCAAAGCCCAAACACCTGTGTTAACATTGTAAACAACTTTTGAAACCTCAGTATACTGGCCATTAAATACCAATGTAGGTAAGTCAATGCCATACGCATTCTTCCCCCCCAACAAAGCACAGTTGGTACACATAACATAATACTTTACAAACGGACTAGTGTGGATGGCTTCTTTCAGTCCAAGTCAATAACAAAGAATACAGATTGAATGTTACGCTGTGTGGACATTTAAACCATTTTGTGTTTATTCTTCGTTAGCTATAGGGCCACACCTCCTTAATTTTATGGATGACATCCTCTGAGGACCAACAAACAAGTGCGCGCGGGCGAATAAAAAAATTCCGGCTAAAAATAAAAATGCTACTAAACCACATGAATACAAAGCTGGTACATGTATTGTGAATTTGCGGCAGTACATAGCGACGTATGAAAAGCTAGCAAGAAGCGGCACTGAGAAGCATAAAGCTAGCAAGCAAGCCGGCACTTGCTAGCTTTTTGCGGAGTTTATGAATCGGCACTGTACGTATGTAATGAGATCTTCAGTATGTATGCCTGGGTGCCATCCTCCAGAGTTACCACCGGCTCCCTATTGTCGCTAACTACCATGGACTAACCAGGCCTAGAGCCAGGCCAGAGCCTCGGAGGACGTGATTTTTTTTTTTTCGGACGGGCGAAAATCAATATGCGCGCGCGGATGTCATCCATAAAATTAAGTCGGTGTGGCTTTAGTAACACCAAAGCTTTCACTGTATTCATTCATCCATTACCAGACCTCTGTGTCGCTGTGTTTGTATTGCAATCATCAACACCCCAACAACATAAGGCCATGTTGATTTGATTATATGGATGACATCCTCCGGGAGCCCCAAAACTGATGCGCGCATGCGAATAAAAAAAAGTTTTGCAAAAAAAAAAAGTTGTTTTCATTATGAAATGTTGAAGGTTGCACAAATGGCACAGAATATGGTTTGGCGAATAATCTACTCTTCGAATTCATTTCTTTACAATTTCGTCTTTTTTCGTTTGATTTTGGCATTCTACGACATTGGTATAGTTTTTATTTATTTTATTATTTTTTTTGTACCTGACGGTATATTTTTGCTCATTTTGCAACTGTTTTGTACGATTTACAGTATGGTTGAAAACTTTTTTTTTTTTGGAAACGGCCGAAAATTCATGCGCGCGCGGATGTCATCCATATAATCAAATCAACATGGCCTAATATGTAAAGAAAGTCTTTGACTTTTCCTGCTAAAAACATGAAATTATAGAATAAAAGTTTTGTAATTTAACTATTTTTTC